GGTGGTGGGGGGGACAGGAGGCCGAAGGATAGGGGCAAGCAGCTGAGAGCTGGGGAGCCAGGAGCCCTTTCAGGAAAGGAGCAAAGGCCTCTCTGGCTGGGATCTTTGCATCCTGCGGGGTTCCTGCTCCGGCTCTGGCACATTATCAGTTTGGAAATGCGATCTCAAAGACAGGTAGAGGAGGGTACCCGGTCAGAAGGAGGATTCGAACCCGAGAGCCGTCCAGCTGGCTGCTGTGCGAGTGTCCACCAAGCTCAGGGCTTTAATTTACAGCCTGTAGACGGCAACAATGAGTCATGGCCTTGGGAACATCATCAGGGGCTCCCAGGTAGCACAGCGGGCTAGAAGCGCAGCACTAGGAAGCTGCCGCAGCCGCTGCAGCACCAGTTCAATGGCCAGGGCTGACCCCCAGGGCGCAGCAGACCTCTCCTGTCTCCCCGCTGCTCCCTCAGCAGTGGACTTCGTTGATCTGTTCTGCCCCCCACTCTGTCTCTGGTGAGTCCTCTCACCCCCCCACCTCTGGCCTGCACCCCAGTTCTGTGTGTATAAATAAATACGTCTTTAAAAAAACAGGAGCTCACTGATGCTGGATGGGCTTTCCCCTCGCTAAAGGGCGCCTGCGGCAAGCAAAGGCTGACGCCCCACTGGGAAGCCACTCATCTGCTCCCAGGTCAGAGTGGGTGTGAAGACTCTGGTTCTCCCTTCAGGCAACAGACTCCTGCAGACAGGAGGGCGCCTGTGGGTGGCTCTTCTCCCTGGGGGCAGAGGCGGTGTGATGGCTCCTTGCCTGTGAGATATTTCCCCAGTGAGTTAATTGTAAAAATAAATAAAATGTAATTATTCATCCCAAAAGAAAGAAATGCCAGCTGAGTCCGTGGCCTGCATCACAGTACTTGGATGCATAAATAAATAAAACAAATCTTAGAAGAGATCTGGTGAATCCTCTCACCCCACACCTCTGGCCGGCACCCCAGTTCTTAGGTGCATAAATAATAAATCTTTTCTTTAAAAGATGGGGAAATCATAAAAATGTACAAAAACGAGGATGCCCGGCTTGCGCCACGCCATCCATGTATAAAGACTCGCCGCGTTCGAGCTGGGCCTCAGCCAAAACAACACTATCACTGAGCCCGGGGCGCGGAAAACCCAGGAGAATACATGGTCTTTCTTTTTTTAAAGATTTATGTGTGCATGCAGAACAGGGGTGCAGGCCAGAGGTGCGGGGAGAGAGGACGCCCCAGAGACAGAGCGGGGAGCAGGACAGGCGGATCCACTGACACCCACGGCTGAGGGGGCAGGAGGGGGCTGCGGCGCCCTGGGGTCCCTCTCGGGCCGGGGATCGGATCGAGCTTGGGCCCCAGCAGTGGAAGCGCTGAGACCACCCACCAGGCCACCAGGGAGACCGCCAAAATTCTTCCTGTTTTATCCCAACTTGGTGGAGAGGCTGAGCGAGCAGAGTTTACTGCTCCCGGGCAGCAGCCGAGACGGAGCCCCTAGAGTGGGGTCCGCAGCTACTGCCCACTCAGTAAGGGGGCAGGCTCTCTTCGGTAGACCTAGGTTCACATTCCAACGGTGACTCAGCTGTGCCCCTGGTGCCAGGCCCAGTTCCTCCCACCTGAATCTCCCGGATGCCAGGCCCAGTTGACTATCAAACTTGGATGTGAGGCCCACTTCGTTATCACTTCAGATAGTCCCGTCCCGGATGCAGGGTCACTTTATTACCATCTTATCAAGCTTGGATGCCAGGCTCAGTTCTTTACCGCCCTAATTCAGTCCTTGTCAGGAAATCTTTGGTCACTCCCAACACTTCCCATCTTGCGAAACTGAAATTGTCAGACTGCACATTGACGCCTGTCCCTCCTCCACCCGTCCCTTCCGGACGCCGGGTCTTTGCCAGGGCGTGTCCACCCACACCCCAGAGTACGGCTGACTGAGATGTGGAGTCCGAACCCTTGGGGTCAGGACCTGGGAATCTGCATTCACCAGCTCCCAGCTCAGGCTGAGGAGAAGCACCCCAAGTGGTGCCAGCGTCTGTGAGACAGGACAGCCGAGCCGGGGGCGAGCGGGGGGCGCCCAGTGGCTCCGTGGCGGGAGCCCATCTGGGCACAGCTGAACTTAGGTGAGCCCCACCGCCGGAGCTCAGGCCAGCTGGCCAGCGGGGCGCAGAGCGGCGGGCGCTCACGGCCGGGGCCGGGTCGCCCCAGGAGGCACTTCTGCGCAAGGGAGCCTGGTCTGCTGTTGTTCATTACTTGAAGAGAACCGAAAGGGCGAGAGGGCTTGGGGGCGTCGCTTGGCCCGGCTGGCCCTTTCACTCTGGACAGGCTTTCACTTTCATACTTGCTGATCTCAGACTCCTGTCCTCAAGCGGGGCCCCACGGGCGCAGAGTCAGACCTGCCCGACTGCGGAGACCGGGAGGCTTTGTTCTTTAAGAACTGTGCACTGAGTTTGCACACCTGACGGAGGCCACAGGACACCCCCTGGGCCACCCTGCACCACCAGCTGCTGGCTGTCACCGAGCCCCCCTGCCCAGCAGGAAGCCTGTCTCCCCACTCCCAGGCTCCCACCGGCCTCAGGCCCTGCTCTCTGCCGCCCCCGCACGGCGCTCGGGTGACACGACGCCACGTCTGAGGGAGGCCAGCGGCCTTTCCCACGCTCCCGAAGCCAGAGGTTTATTACTGCAGCTGGCAGCACCGGGCGTGGCCACGGACTCTAACCCTGAGTGAGACTGGCTGTGCACTGGGGACCCCTGTGGGAGGCTGCCTTCTCCCTACATCGCACGCCCAGGCAGCCCTCTGCACGTGAGCCACCTGGAGAGGTGCTGGCACCTGGCGTGCGTCAGAGGGCAGGTGGCGGGTTGACGTGGCCACACACAATGGGGAATCGCCCCCGTCCAGCATGGTCACCCCAAAGCCTGAGGGCACCGTGGCACGGGGCCGCTGGTGCTTCCAGAGCCCCGGGGAGGCTGTGCAGCCCCTGATCATTTCATCAGCGCCAGCAGTAGCTGCTGCCACCAGGTGTCACCGGCGTTTACCAGAGGAGCCCCCAGCTGGCCCAGGACCCCCTCCCGGCCGCAGTGAGGTGCGGGCAGAGGTACCCACCGGGCGAGCCCCAGGGAGCCCGTGTTTCTGCAAAGACCTGCCCCCAGAGCGCTCAAGGCTGGTTGTTCCGGCCGCGCGGGCGAGGGCTATGGGCACCGGGTGTTCCTCAGCTGAGCTTGCACGTGGGCTCGGCCGCGGGCCAGCACCGGCCTTGCTCGGGCTCAGCAGAGCCTCTGAGTCAGGCCACCTCATCCCACACAGGGAAGGGCACCCTGCCCACCAGCAGGGAGGCCCGGAGGTGCCCTACGGGGGAGGGTGCTGGCGCCCCTGTTTCACAAGCCCCACCAAGGATCTGTCACCTGGGCGCCCACACGGCCCTGTTGGGGAGCAGGCTTCTCGCCTCGGGCCCAGAATCTCACCTGCCTGGACACACCGAGGCTCTGCTGGGGCCAGCTGGCCACAGGTCCGGTCCACAGGGGCTGCGCCTGTGAGTCTCTGTCTGGCCTCAGCTTCCTCCCTCATGCCGGCCTTAGAGCCTGGCCAGGGTCAGGTCAGCCAGAGCCCCAGAGCTGGGCCCCTAGATGAGGCTCAGACTCAGGAGGGGAGGTGTGGGGAGGAGGGAGCCCCTCGCCCGGTGCTGGCCGGCTCTGGTTTGAAATCCGTGCAAAAGTTCTTATTTACAGGCCCAGAGTCTGGCCCGCGTGCCCGGGGATGCCCCTGCACCAGGAGAGGCTCCTCCCTGCGCTCTCCTACCCAGGTGTGGTGTGGTGTTTTCTCAGCCCCTCGCGGGTCCAAGGAGCACGGAAAGTGTATTAGGAATCCTGTGGTAGCCTCTGAGGCAGAGACACAAAAGAGTCGCTTCTCGGGGTTCAGTTCAGCGCAGTCCGATCACCTCGCCCATTCATTACTCCACCATGGCCACCGGCCTCCACGCCCAGCGCCCTACAGACAGAGGGGCTCAGCCCAGCCAGCTGGGCCCGGGGGTGGCAGCACAGCAGTCTTACTGGGGGTCCCCTTCTTCTGACATTCAAAAAGCCCCCAGCCCTTCCTGCAACCTGGCCCCCAAGTCAGTGCTAGGTCTTCGCGGGTTGATGGGCAAGAGGACCCCCGCCACCCCCATCAGCTGTCTTCCTGCCGGGAAACTGCAGGTAGTTGGACCAAGGAACTGGGGGGAGGGCTCCCCACATCCTCAAACATTGGGCAACCCCCCAGGACACAGCAGGAACACGCCACGAGTGGCGCCCCCACCGCCGGGTCCGCACCCCAGACTCAGCCTTCGCAGGCTGGCCTGGCTTTCGCGGGAAAGAAGTGTCAGGAGCGAGAGGCTCCTGGCAACCTCCTCCACCGAGGTACGGAGCAGTTTGCAGCAGAGAGCAAGGCGGGGCTCCTGCTGCGTCGTCTGCCCCAGCTCCTGTCCTGCGGCTGACCGCGCTGGGCGGTCACCGCGCACCAGCAGGCCCTCCAGAGCACGTGCGTCGAGGCCGCGAGGCCTGTTATTCCTGTCCCACCCCCCTTCACGCCCCAAGACCGCCTGGCCCGGCGTGTGCTCCCCCCGAAGTACCCTCTGTGGCTGTGCAGAGCCTGCTGCCTCCTGCCCAGGCCGGGAGCGCAGGTGACAGCCCAGAGGGAGAGCCCGTCGCAGCTAAGGCTGAGGTTCCCTGCCGAGCTGGCAGGAGGCAGCCCCTGCAGGCCGCAGGTCAGGACCCGCAGAGCAGATGGCTACTCCTGCCCAGTGAGCTTCCGGCCGGCCCTTGGGCAGCGGTGCTGGGGCAGGTGTGCCCGCTGCCGGCAGCGTGCTTAGCCAGTCCCAGCGCCAGGGCCGTCCCTTCCACCAACTGGGGTGGGTGGGGGCTTCTCCTCGCCCGGCAGCCCCCTTTCTTCTCAGCCCAGACTAGGGGGGTCAGCAGGAGTTCTTCCCTTACTTCCTCCAGAGGGGTGTGTCCTGGGGGTGAGGGCCTCACCGGCACAAACATGCTGGTTCCGACCTGGTCCTGGATGCTAGGCTGGTCCCTGCTGGTGGGAACAGGAGCTTCCACCACGCGCTTCCTCTTCTGCCCAACAGGTCCTTGCAGTCAGCCCAGCCGGAAGGGTCACCAGGGGCGCCAGAGGCCAGAGGTGCAGGGAGGCTGGGGCTGTGAGCCTGAGGGCCCCTGGGGGCGGGAAGAGCAGGGGTGGGTGGTGGGTATTCCCAGCGGGTGTGCTGGCAGGGGTGGCAGCCACAGCCCTGCACCTGAGGTGCTCCAGCAGGCCAGAGCTCAGGGCTGGCTCCATGTGGCCGCAGGCGGCCAGCACGCGGGCCAGGCATGCCAGGCAGGCGCGGTAACCCTCGCAGTAGCTGTCGGAGGGCGCTGCGGGCAGAGATCAGTTGTGATCAGCTGGGCAGGGTGCAGGCTACTTGCGCTGGGCACCGGGCAAGGCTGGGGCAGGCGGGTCACTCACTGGGTGCGGTGTCCAGGCAGGAGGGCGCAGCAGCTCTTGCAGGAAGCACACGGTCATCTCCAGGATGTCGCCTTCTCCAGCTGGCAGCAGCGCGCAGCGTCAGGCGGGGAGGGAGGGGCCGGCAGCGGGAGAGTAAGGGCTGCC